TGTGCCTGTGTGTGTGTAGCCTCCAGGACATGCTCATCATCTTCTCTTTTTTGCATTCTCTCGCATTGTCGAGCGGCGTCTCGCTCTCGAGCCGTTTGCTTATTTGTTTATTTTGCCTCCACTTTGCGTTTTTCCTGTTTCTGTTGTCCTTTGGGGCAGATTGGGGGCAGTGTGCCGGGGTCGGGGTCTGCGAAGGATAATTTTCTTGGTCGCCCGGTTTTTTGTGCTCTTATTATGCCGCACACGGCTCAACTTTTCAACTTGTTCTTTTTAGCTTTTTTCGATGGCGGCAAAAAATAAAATGAAGTAAAAATACAATTTCGTCAAGGACGTTAATTGTTTTGCTTCTATTTTTTTTCGTCTGGCCCGTATGTATGTTTGTATGCATGTGCGAGAGGGAAGGCATGTTTGCAGGTCTATGTGTGCGTGAGTCCTTTGACTTTTATTTTTGCTTTTATTTTCTGGCGCTGCCTTGTTTATGTTGTTTTTTCATTGCCACCTCAATTTGCGTGCACTTTGCGTCGGCTCTTGTTGCTGTTGTTGCTTTGGTGCTGCGTGTCCTTGCCATTATTTTGATTTATTTTTTTCACTTTCTTCCGGTTTGCACAAACACACACACACACAAACGGACAGTCACATTCTACCATAAGTGGCGTTTAATTTATCAATTTGTCGTTTGCCAAAGGAATTCATTATTTGATTGTTCTCTCCACGTTTTTATTTCTTTTTTTTTCAGCTCTCCGCTTCGTCCTTTTTGGTCTCTTTCATGAGGTTTGTTTACTATTGTCTGGGCTTAATCTTTTGTTTATTTGCCATCATCAACGTCACCGTTCCGTGTCTGTGCCGTCTGTCGCATTGTCGCTTTGTCGCTTTGTCGCTGCTGCATCGGAAGTTCAATCGGTAGCCATGAAATCCTTTTTAGAGAATGGATGACCCCACCTTCCACTTTCTCTGGATGTTGGTAGTGTTTCGGTAATTGAAGTCAAATTGCTTATTGAGTTGGATGCCAAGTTGATTGAGCAGGTTCTTTATGATTGGTTGTCTCCAAAGACCTTTCATTTTTATTAGAATTTCGAGCTTTATATCATCTGTATCTTATAAAACTTTTCTTTTACTAGTAAATATTGTAATTATAACAGATTTTCTAAACAACTCGAAGTAATTTAAGCTTGTACTGTAAGTTATTTGCATTTCCCTTATGACTTGCATTGGCTACTTAAGTTTCTTTGTGTGTAAGGATAAAGGATCTTATATCTTTCAAAGAAAATATGTATTTTTAAAGAAATCCCTGCCGCTCTCATTCAAATCGTACAAATAATTAAAACGCAAGGCAAGGCAAACCCAAATAAGTAATTGCCACCTTGTACGACAAGTCGTCAGTAAACCTAGCACATAGACCATGAAAAAAAAATACCAAAATAAAAAAGAAGGAGAAAAAATCGAAAAAGTACGGCAAGGAAGAACTCGAACCGAAATTGACAAATTAAAAGGTAGACCAGGCAGGAGGAGAGCTCCGAAAGGATATCAGACTGAAACCCAGTGGACAATTAAGCAAAAGAAGGGTGACTGACAATTAGAGGGATGGCCGAGGAATCGACAAGTTTCGGGCGCGCAATTATGATTATGGGTGCGTCCCCACCCAAATCCCTCCTTAATTGTTTTTTCTCTCTCTCTGCTTTAGGTCTCGGTTTCCCTTTGCCAGGGATGCTGCCCAGTTGCCTGGACGGAAATTCATTAGAGCAGCGGGGTAACTGGTCCCCTGGCCATGTCAAAGCGGCTCCAAGACGATGTCTTGGCTTTTTTCCTCAGCGAAAATTGCAATTTTTCCAGGACTAGACTTCGACGGGGTTGGGGCTGGGACAATTGTCCCTGCCTGGCAGACATCCTCCGGCCCCAACTTCGGTTTGAAAAAAAGGGCTTCGCGTCCTGCTTACGGCACAGGAAAGGGGACGAGGGCCTGAAGGACAGCTAGACGGGCGGACGAGCAAACATAAAAATGCGTTTTTGCCTTCAGAAGTCCCTTTTTGAAGGGCGGACGATGGGGTGGGATGGGGAGCGACTTGGACGGGCACCTAAACAGAAAGTAATCAACCCACACATACATTTATACATACTTCTATATATATACACTGTTTCACAGATATACATATATACAGAGACAGGACAAGGAACGGCGCGTCTCCACCTTCACTCATTTCACAAAACACACCCACAACTTGGGTCCGAGCTGGAGAAACTTTTTTTCGCTTTCGCCGCTCCAACATTTCTGTTTCCTTCGCATCGAAGGACGAACGAAAGGAGGAGGGGAGCGGGATGGGCGGGGCATTGTTCTTGTGCCGCCATGAAAATTAATGAAGAAGTGCCCGACCCATGTTCCAAAGGCACTAAAACTCCGTCCACCGCCCATCCACCGACAGGCAGACTGACGGTTTGGTCCCCTGGTTCATTGGGGTGTGGGTTCTGGGACCTGGGTCCTGGGTCCTGGGTCCTGAATCCTGGGTCCTGAATCCTGGGACTTTGGACTTGGCTCTGGCTGTGGATGTGGTGGGTCGGGAACCGTGGCTACGACCGCCTCTTGGGGGTGCGTGCCCATATCTGCTGGTGTCCAGTTTTTTTTTGACTTACCCTAACTCTAAAGCGGGATTAAGCCTGGTTGTCTCTCAGTTTGAATTTATTTATGCTTGAATTTAAATAATTGCGATTTCTCTTAATTAAAACTTTAAAGGAGATATGAAATTTTGAGGGATGAACAGGTAAAAAAAGAAATAACTTATTGAAAATCGAGTTAAGCATTTATATACAAAACAAATTCTTTAATAATATAAAAAAGAAGTGTGATAAAAAGAACAACTCATTTATGTGATTAGTTAAAATTGTAAATATAAATTCGTGATACATCGCAGAAATTTTATAAAAATTTGTAATTGCTAATTTTTAGAAGGATTATTTTAAAAACAAATTACAACTTTGGGCAGGGCCAATATAAACCCACTTGAAACCGAACCCACACACATGAGACTAACTGCACTTCTCCACCTAGAGGCGAAAATCAGTTAAAAAATGTCACAGACCCTATGAAAATATCTGAAATTAGACTATGGCCAAGGGGTCCGCCAAAAAACCAGGAGAGAAAGACAATGGAAAAGCGATTTCGACGGCCACACGGAGCATTGGGCAAGCCAAGCCCTTCGGGTGAGTTGAGGATTGTGGATTTGTGGACTTTGGGGGGTGACTCACCCATCTGGAACGGGACACCCCACATACACACACATGGTCAAGTGGGTGTTGACCCGTCCGCATTTAGAGGTGCACGGACTCGTCCGCAGTTGGGTTTATTTTTTTTTCGACTGCGGCAAACTGTCGCTAGATGGCGCCGAACAGGAGCCGAGCAGCAGCGAAAGGCGGACACGGACACGGACACCGACACGGACATGGACATGGACGAGGACGACGCCTTTGCTTTTAGCTTGATTGCCAAGCCTAGTTAACTGTAAAGTTTTATAACTTTGGCCGGTTACCGGCAGCCCCCACCCAATGGCCCAATCACCACCCCCTCTCGAGCGCAGACAAGCCTCACCTGCAGAGCGTTGAAATCGGTTGGTTTATAGCACGCGCCAACGCAGCCCTTGGTCCTTGGTCCTTGCTCCCTTTGCCCCCTAAGCCTTGCCTGGTTGGGCTCTAACTCCCATCCATACCTCTTATGCCTGGCCTGACAGCCCCGACTTTCGTTTCGACCCTTTTAAAAAGTCGTCAATACTCGCCCTGCTGCGAAAGGGTTTTGGGGGAGACGTGCAACGGCCCCTGAACCCGGCAAAGGACTCGGTTTGGGAACAGACCAGAACAAGGACCTGAGCTCAGCTCGGGCGTCTATCAAATTCCAATTTCGGTCCCTTTTTTTCCCTCCGCACCGTTGGCATTCAAGGTTTATGGCGTCTTTTTAGCGTAAATCCTGCATGGCCACACCCGGAGTCCGGTCTTCCTGCTGCTGCACCCTTTGGGGCCACCCTTCGTTCCGCAACCCTAACTCAACCTAAGGCCCCATCTTCACAGCCTCCACCCACCGACTCCCCCAAAAAACTCCATCGGAAGTGTAAAGAGCTACTGGCTCCATGGCAGTTTCTGTGTATTTACATCTATTACAAAGAACATTTTGATTTCTTAAAATTTTGGAACGATAAATGAATATTTCTTCATGATTTTACACTTTATAAAGTTGTTTACTTAATTAAACAATTTAAAAAATCAATGAAACTTTGTTGGCAGATATTGAGACTTTAGTAAATATGTTCTTTTTACATCAACACATTTTCTTTGTTACAAAATTTCTAAGCTAGTCTTACGATCTCCATTGACAACATCGCAAAAGTATGAAGCAGCAAAAATTCATATTAATTGAACAATAAGAAATTTGCCTTTTAATTTCAATTTACCCCGCTACTAAGGTCTAAAGTATATTGAAATACATACGTTGTAAATTTAAGCTTTGATAATGAGACGATAATATTTTTGAATGATTACCTAGTGAAGCTAGGTGTAAGAAATCAAAATATATAATTTTATAAATATTTGATTTTAAACATTCTGATGAGTATTCGCAAGTCAAAAGCTGCCTGACTAGTTTTCGTTGCAAACATATGTTATTTGTATTGTAGAAAACCGGTCTTTTTGTTGGCGGATTGAATATATACAGACGAACGAGCTATATGCACACTTCATTCATAACGAATTACTTTTGAGTTTAAAGACGAGGCTTAGTCGACAAGAGTCGCTGTAAATAGTTGGATTTACCCCTTGAGTTTTAAAATCAATGCATAATCCCAACTAAAATGAGTAACACTCGGCTTATAATTATATGCAATACTCCCAACTCTATGTAAAATATGCATATTTCCCAGAAGAGTGAGAAAAAACCCTCTCAGCGGAGAGATAACCTGTAAATAGCAATATTTATGTACAACTGAGCTCGATTAGCTGACGCTTGGCAAGCTCAGTCAGAATTATCTCCCGCGATCATCAGCCAAGTTCAGTTCGATTCCGGGATTTGTAGTGTTAACACGTGCCACGCGAAAAGTCGAAAAATCGATGAAGATGAGGTACACCAATCTTCTGCTTAGCTGCGCCTGCTTGCTGCTCCTTCACCTTGAGGTAGGTCAGGCAAATAGTAGGCACCAAATCCCCCACTAAGTAACGGTATTCTGCACCTTTAGATGGGAGCAGCCAGAGCCACCGACAGTGGACCCAGCCAGTCACTTTACGCCACAGCCCAGGGCCTTGGATTGGATGCTGCCGGTTTGGATGAGATATGGCGTACCGGAAAGCCATTGATTATCAGGAATGAGATGGGACCGAATGAAGAGTCCACGATAACCTTCAATCTAGGTCCCAACAGAAGCACAGTAATCAGAACAGAGCAAAATAAGTTTCACACCTCTTTTCGATTTCAAGAAAATTGGGGTCAACCCAATCCCGAGTTCTTTCTCAATCCGTTCCTGAATCCGTTTGGAAGTGGGTTTCCGCAGACATTCTTCGAAAACTGGACGAGAATATTTTCAAAAGGCGTAAACCCGTTTCTACCTTGCTGCCAAGGATTTAATGGTCACCATAATCCGAATAATTCGCCCCTTCCACCATCAAATCTCATTCCAAATGATCGCATTCCAAGTGATCGAATTCCAAGTGATCGAATTCCAAGTGATCGCATTCCAAGTGATCGCATTCCAAGTGATCGCACTCCAACTGATCGCTTTTCAAAGAGAATTAGCCCAAATGAGCGTCCCATCTACACGCCAAATATTGATGAATCCAATTCAAATGATCCCCAGTGGGTTCCAGTACCAGATGATACAACCCAATCGCCGATAGTTCCCCTGCCCACACTGGCCCCTTCAAATGACCCGGGGGCTGACACTGTCATCGATGATTTCCTGGCAAAGGTGGATGTCACCACCTCGGATATCAAGCAAGACGACGGGGAATATGTCAGGACGATCGTTGATAAAAATGGAAGAATTCTTAGAGCCAAATTTGAGCTTGTCGAAACCAAAAGCCAAGATGGCAATCAGCCCACCAACTAAATTATTAAATACTATTAATTCTTAACTAAATCTTGCTTCTGAATATATTTAGCCCCATGTTTGTTATTGAAAGTTATCTGTTTTTTATTTTTCTATTTTTTCAGAGTCTAATAAGATTAAAAACAAAAAAAAATAATATTCTTTCTTTTACTCCAAAAGCAATACATTACAATAAAAGTGGAATTTTTAAATGTTAAAAAAAAGAATTGACCAACCATTTGAGGTTAATAGCTCGGAGATTAAAAGTGCGATTCCAACTCATTATATAATCATATACTCAAAACACTCTATTTTTGTTTGATTTACAAGGCTCAGAAAATCCTATCTTGTATATTAAACTGAACTCGAATAAAACGCTAAAGTGAAAGCCTTAATTTATGGAAGCTGTTCATAATAAATATAAACAAAGTCAAATAAACTACTTGTGCCAATTCACATGTCGGCTAATAAAGAGATATTGCAATGAATCACTTACATTCAAAATGAGATGGTGATGTTGATTCACAATCTATGTAAGATGTATTTCCACAACAATATCAGCTGCAGGTAAACAAAAATTGTACCTGGCTTTGTTTTTATAAAACTAGACTTCTTTCCTTCTGCATATTTTCAAACATATTTATGTATGGAACTTTTTCATGATCTCAGAGTTTTAGTTTTAATTGCATATATGTGTATCATGCGTCTATTTCATATAATAGAAGTATGAATCTGTAAATATGTATGAAACAGTAAAGTAAATAGCAGCGAACACAGCATTAATACATAGAAGTCAGATTGAGCAAAAAAGTAAAGTTCAGGCAGAGGAATAGAATCACTCCATCTATATGATATATATATTGAAAGCTTTATAGAAGCTTATGACAAAGAAGAAATAAATTTAAGGGTATTATACGCTTGGTTCCAAAACCATTCTCGCCTTGGAGACCTCTGTTTCAGAGCGATAACCCTTCGGGGTGGAGCTTGATTCTTGAGTTCTAATGGGAGACACCTACACATATTCACGTAAGAGTCTTGAGTCTGATCAAATGGCGATCAGTCAACCTAGTCGCCACAATCAAACTCAGTCAGATTCAGACAATCAAAGTGTTTGCAAGTACCGCGGAACGATCGACAATGAAGTACGCTAATCTCTGGGCTAGCTGCGCCTGCTTGCTGCTCCTTCAACTAGAGGTAGGTCAGGCAATTGACCTCCAGTTCCCCGTTAAGTAAAGCGTTTCCTTGGTTTTAGATGGGAGCAGCCAGAGCCACCGTTAGTAGACCCAGCGAGTCCCTCTACACCATGGCCCGGGGCATGGGCTTGGATGCTGCTGGCCTGGACGAAATTTGGCAAACCGGAAAGCCATTGGTGATCACAAATCACGGTGAAGCCGGAGAGCAGACTAGGGTGACCTATGAGCTAAGTCCCGATCGCACAGCGCTGTCCATGCACAGGCTCACGGAGAAGTCGTCACCGGCTAGGATAGAGGCTGGCGCCACCGCGCTCTCCAAGCCCCAAGAAGACTGGGAGTACGTGCCCAATCCCGTCCAGCGTCCAGCTTTCAGGTTTCCTGAACACAATTTCAATTTTGGCAACTCCGAAAATCACTTTGGCAATCCCTTTGGCAGTGGATTCCCCCACTCAACACTCTTCCCCAGCTGGGGCCTTCCCGAGGGGGTAACACCTCGAGTCGAGACCAAAACGGAAGTGGACGACCAGGGACGAAAGGTGACGACAACCACCAGCACCTATAGCGGTCGTATAGCCCCCGGAAACAGTGTCTTCGACTCGCTATTTCCCGATATTTCCCGGGCACCTGGTCCCATTAATCCCGAAAGGACACCCCAGTCACCGCATCCGTCCGTTGGACCCCAACTTCCCCCATTCCCCCTGCGTCCGATACACCGTCTAAGCCCTAAGGATAACACAGAGCCCTCCTGGTTTCCAGTGCAAGACCCGACGACCACCCAGAGATCTGTGGATCTACTGCCTCCGGCTGGTGGCGCTGGAACAGACTCCACCATTGACGACTTCCTGGCCAGAGTGAACATCTCTGTCGCGGAAATCGAGGAGAAGAACGGGGAATTGGTCAAGACGGTCGTGGATAAGAACGGACGAGTGCTGACGGTAAGATTTGTGCTTAGCACCGTCAAAGGAGACCCAGAGAAGCCCAAGAAGGAGGAGCCTACCAAGTAAATTGTCCCTTTCTTATTTGTTGCACTCTAGCAAGTATATAATTCAGAAATTGTGGAATAATACTTAAAGTAAACAATTTAGAAAAAATAAATACGGTTTTTGAGTTCATTTATAAAAGCACTTATCAGTCCCGGGGCTAAGCCCCGAGATAACGACCCACGGACTGAGTCAATCTTTTACCGGGAATTTCGCATTAAAAAAAGGTGATAAGAGGGTTTTAATCAAAACATGTTTCCGGCTCAATTGGGAAAAGTTCATGTCAAGTGTAAACTTACCTGCAAAGTTAAGGACATATACTTATATGTATATAAGCAACTACAAAGCGCTATGACTTATTCAAAGGCTACTCGCATATTTACGTTTTAGGAAATGAATATTTTGTTATTCAGATCGCTGGCCAAATTAATTAAAAAGCGTTAATGGTTTCGTAGGTCTAATTTATTACAAACAATATTTCGGGCGTTCGCTAACAACTGAGCTGTAAAAAATCGAAAGAAATAAATATATAATGGCAATAATAAAAAATCAACATAAACGAAATTAAAATAATAACATTAATAGATTAACAACATAATATATGCAATACATAAATTGCAGCCAAAATAATTCAAGCATTAAGAGATCAAAACTATAATAAAAAAGCACAAAGGGAGGCGAAACGAGAGATTCAATTTGAATTTCAAAGCAAAATTATTAAAAATACGTGAAAGAACTATTGCATAATTTTGTGCGATGCTCAGCGCAGAACGCATTTGGTGGCCGAAAGCGTTTGTGGGTGGAAATGCTGCAAATGCTGTGGGTGGTGTTTTCCGGTTATTGTGGGTGTGGGTGGTGTCACAGCCACCATAGCGGTTGTCTGTCTGCCACTGCCCTTCTTGCTCGATGGCATTGCATTAGTTGGGTTACATTTATAAGCCAAGCATGTCATAGAAAAAAGAAACTAGATTAGTAAAAATTTGTTGGCGGATCGAGTGTGTGAAAATCGTAATAAGCTTTGGTTCTTAAATCTAGGTAAGCGGGAATCTATTAATAATTAAGCATTTAAAATCAACTATGCGTTAAGTAAGACATAAATATTTCAACATGTACTACGTGCGTCAATTCGCTAGTAAATCATTTATAATAAATGTAATATTTTCTTGTTCTTTTTTTATAGAGATTTCAATAAAGTTTATAAATCGCCCAGGGGGGGCTTTCAAATTCAATATGCAAATTTAATATAAAATATATATATATGTATATAAAATGGAATTGGTAAAAAAATACATTGCAGTCTGTCATATCTTTCTTTAGCGCAACAAAAAACAAAAAGTTGACCAAAAGTTTGGTCAACAGTTATCGGGATATATATGTATAAGTTCTGGATTGCTCATTTGAGATCGAATAGTTCCCATTCGAATTTGAGATTTCAATAAGGTATCCCTAAGTCTATAGCGAGTACTTGAAGTCCTTACTCACCAAGTTGTCGAAGCGCAAGGCATCCTCGTCGCTGAGGCCCATGCTGCGTGTCAGCTGCAAGTAAGTCGAGGTGATGGGCTTCAGTCGCTCCAGATCCAGCGGCGGCAGTGGCAGGGATAGCTCCACTGGCGGCAGGTTACCCAGCTGGGGAATACGCATCTCCGACAGCGGCTTGGGCGGACTGGGCAGCTCCAGCTTGAGCGGCATATGGGCGGCCACTGGCGTCGATGTCGAGGCCGGGTTTCCGCTCTTCAAGCTGCAAAACAGAGATTTCGTTAGATTTATCGGAGTGAGAGGGGTTGTGTCTTTGGTGGCGGCGGTGGGCGTGGCTGTCGAGACGACCGGAGAGCGTGCCTGCACCGAGCTGTCCGGAGAGCTCTTGAGCAGGGAGGGATTGGCATTGGTACTGGGAGCTGGAGAAGCGGCCTTGGGAAGGTCTAGCGGCCTGCCTTGAGAGGCTGTGGTGCTGCTAGGGTTAGGGGTAGGGGTTGTCGTGGCAGAAACTGGGGTTGGATAGCTCAGGCTCTGCAGCAGGCTGCTGCCGTAGAGGGGCGGCGCTAAGACCGGTTCCCCGGCATAGAAGCGCCTCATGAAGTCATAGTATCGCAGGAGATTGTCCCGCGACTTCAACAGATGGGAATCAAAGCCCTGGGAACTGGCACTGGCCTGCTGCGACTGTGAAGCCATATTGGGGCTTGCCTCTACTGGGGCTTGGACACGGTCCAGCGGACTCGGCGGACACTGCAACTGGGACTTGACCCGGATTTTGGGCACGCTAACCGGCGATGTTTCAACAGTCGCCTCGGTCACCGTTGGCTTGGGATTGGGATTGGGACTGGGACCGGGACCGGGACGGGGACCGGGACTGGGTGGTGGTGGAGCCCCTGGAGCATCCTGCTGGGCGGCACTAGAGCTGCTGGCACCACCACCCAGTCCTACGCCCCCGGCCAGGCCACTGGCCACCGCCAGCGAGGCCTTGAGCTCGGCGCTCGAGTGCCGGCGGCGCTTGGCCGTGGGCCCCGCCTCCAGAGAGCTCTCCGTGTGCGATGAATAATTCAGGTAGTTCTCCACTTCTGAGGAGCTCTCATTGCCGGCCAGGTCGGCATCCTTGCCGCCCACCGAGGGCGAGGAGGGTCGTAGGTTCTTCTTGCACTCAGGACAGATGGTCAGGAAGCGAGTGACCGCCTCGCGGGGCAGGAACGCATAGGTTTCGGTGATCTGATGGGGATAAACAACAAAATATACCGGGAAAAGAAATAATATTTAAATTAATAACCATTCAACTTCCAGGTTCTATAATATATTTATGTAAAAAACTATAATCTCTACATACATTGTACAAGTTAAGTAATCATAACCAAAACCAGAACCATTCATTGAAAATATATTTTAAGAACGACAAAAATAAGACAGTAAAGAAAGCTCACTTCGAAAACCTATTTTTCTATGCATTTCATTAATTAATCCTTTATACTGAGTATATATGAAGTAATTTATATGATACTCTTTTGCCCAAGTTTCTCGGACTTATATTAAAAACTGAAAGAAAACGATCATTAAAGGTTTACTAAAAAACAGGGAAACTAAGGATATAGTTAGTTAGAAACGAAGAAACGGACATGGCTAGATCTAATCGGCTTTAGATGTTGTCAATAAATATATGTACTTCCAATACTTAAATTTATTTTTCTGTCTGTATGAATTTCAAAGGACACTCATATAAAAATGCTTAAAACACTCTTGGATAAATACTTAATTATATATATTGTAAAATACGTTTATCAGGATTTTAAGGATAGTTAGGCTGAATTGCTTGTGAAAAAAAAAGAAAACAGGTAACTTTGAGATTTGTACACTACACTCACAATGCGATAGGTGCGCTTCTGACCCGCGTGCATGCCACTCCGTCCGCCCAGCTCCATGTGTACATTGTAGATGATATCGAAGAACTCCTCAACGCAGGCCACCTTGCGATAGATCCGACGCCCGAACCCTTTGCTGGTGGATGCGGCAAAGAGGTCCACGTCACCGGGATTGTCGGAGAGAATGGCCGAGGTGGGCAGGGGCTTCAGGCAGCGCCGACTGCCTGCAGCCTCTTCAAAGCCGTCGGGACGGTTGGTGGTGAAACCTAGAGATTGAAGGGTTTTCCGGAAATAAATGTGTATCTTTTGGAGTCCCCATTGCGATCCCCACTTACCCTTGGTTTTCACCCAGAATCGAAACTTGGAGCTATCTGGGCGACTGTGCTCCTTGCCCTCGAGAGCCTTCAGGATTCGCGCCTTCTTGCGCAGCGTTATCGTCTTGGTCTTGGCCTGATCGCCGTAAGTGCTGAGGGCCCAGGGCTGGAAGAGCTCGTAGATGATTTCCCGCTCACCTGCCGGCTGCTCCAGCTCATCCACGTCCGCATCGTAGGCCAGATCCGCATCCACCTTGCCCACAGTCACCGGCGAGCTCTCCTCCCGCTCATCGATGGCATAGAGCTTCCTCTTACTGCTCCAAGTCTCCGACGAGGGAATCGCCGCCGAGGACTGTGGCTGCAGTGGCTCAGACATGTCCATGCTATGCTTGCGACTGCCATTAGATTGCTCCATGACGTGGATGCTCTGGTTACCAACTCAAACACACTTATACACTCGAAAAATCAAAGCCAAATCCAAGCGAAGGCTGAAGACATGGATGATATTATTCTGAATAATTAGCTGAAACTCTTTCTCAATTCTTCGTTTGGTGGGATTTCTTAGGGATCCTGAAATTAATGTTTCAAAAGTTATGAAGTTCAATATCCGGCACTTTATAACACTTCTAGAAATTCACTTAGTTTGCACTATCACTTTTAATTTAGGTTTTCCTTTACCTCAGTTGTAAATCTCGATTGTGGATTTAACAAATAAACAATTATTAAATAAACGTTATAACAGAAAAGCTAACGAAAACAGTGTAATTTTGTAACAATATAAAGTCAACAGAAATCCCACATTAACGAAAATCAAGCTCTTTTCGGCACAACAAATAACCAATGGCCAAAAAGAAAAGAACAACAGGGAACGCGACGCGACCGAATGAAAGTTCAAACTCAACTGACTGACAAACTGATCTGCGTCCCGCCGAGAACGTCTCGAGGAGGTCTCTCGGATGCTTGGATGCCTCGGAAGATGGTCCTGAGGTCCGGTCGAAGACAGGCTGGTCAAGATACAAACCGGTTGCATGGCCGGGCATCTGTGAACTTTGAACCACTGCCCCGAAGGCCAGACAGCAGAAAAGCCAAGGGGGTAGAGTCCTCGGAACAAGCTCCTGAGCAGTATCTCTCTGAGACAACCACCGAGGTGCCTACCTCAATAAGTTGCGCAATTGCCGGCCAGCAAATCCGGCGAATGTCGAGCAGCGTAGCCCAACTTCTTGTTGCCGAGCTGAGCCAACCCAAGGATGGTGGTGGAATCCACCCCTAGCCCAGTCCGCGGATGCTCTAAACTTTTTCTAGCCTACTTTTCGGCTGCCACGTGGCAAGGAAGAGCGAGCTAACTGTTGCGTCCATTTTTCGCGCTCAACAAGGACGAGAGGATGTCATTTAGACGCCTGTTGCGCCCCACAACGCCTTGAAGTATGCAATGATTTGTTGGCACGTAAAGTTGGAAAAAGTTAAACCAAAATATTGGTCCTAGGTATAATTCTAAATGGTGCTGAAAAGCAAACTACATCAAAACTGCGATCGATCTTATTCGAGCTTGGGATAGCTCCTAGGTGGTGGTTATTTCTTAGGGGTGCCCCGTCATTGTTCTGATTTTCTTGAATTTCTTTGCTCTTCCCAACCCAAAATTATCTTGTCTTCCTATTGGCCAGCACTGTCCCAGAACCGGCTTCATTCCTGTGCCGCCCCGTTTGATGTGACTTCTGTCTGCATCTCAGCATCCTAAGGCTCATAGGCTTCGCTTAATTACTGGACCCTGCCCGAAAATTACAGTGAAATCTATAGAAAACTGGTTGATTTTAGGACTTGAATTTTGTCTGAATTATGCATTATGCTGTCAGCTGGCTTTTGTAACGATCTTTTCAAAACTACAGAAGTTAAAAAAAATGTATTTAAGTTTCCATTCTTCGAGATATTTCAAGAAAAAAGAAAAGATATGTCAAAAAGAAAGAAATTAGATTGCTTAACTACCCTTAATGCATGTGGTAATACGGTAATATAATTATTCATGTAGTACTTATCATAATTTCTTAGTTATTTATCGTTCAGTGCTATCGATGCCAGGAATTTGGACACACAAAGTCATATTGTGCCAAAACTCACAGGTGCGTGAAATGTTCTTCTAACCACCCCAGCAACATTTGTCCAAAAGATAAAGAGCAACCAGCAAAATGTGCCAACTGCAAAGAAGATCATGCTGCTAGCTACAAAGGGTGCAAAGTCTATCAGGAACTTATATCAAAAAAATTTGTAAGCGGACTCAACCACCTGAAAAACACCAAAGATAACAATAATAAAAATGACCTTGGTACATCTCAATCATTTGCTCCGTTTAGTAATTCGACACAACAACCCAAAGACTTCCAATCATACGCTCAAGTTGCTGCAGGAAATAGCGTCTCGAACGCGTCTCTAGAAAAAATAGAACAGCTTCTAGAGAAACAATTCGAGCTAACAAATAATTTACTTAACATGATAATGTTACTTGTAAATAAGTTATGCAAGTAAATCTAAACTTAGGAATATGGAATGCCAACGGGCTTTCCAATCATTTAAATGAAATAACTTTATTTTTAAAAACAAATGCCATCGACGTCATGCTCATTTCAGAAACACACTTCACTAGCAAATCTTATTTTCAAATTACTGGATACGATACAGTAAGAGCTGACCATCCGTCAGATAGAGCTCATGGAGGTGCCGCAATTATTGTCAAGCGCGGCCTTAAATTTAAAATCATGGACAGTACTAGAGAAAATGCCATACAGGCTGCGACAATTGAGATAAAATGTATGCATGCTGACGTATCAGTAACAGCGATTTATCTCCCACCAAGATTCTCAATAAAAGAACCGGATTTTAAAAACTTTTTCGAAAGACTGGGAACAAAGTTCATTGTGGGAGGCGACTTCAATGCCAAACATCCATGGTGGGGATCCAGACTGACAAACCCGAAAGGATCGGAGCTATACAAATGCATACGAAACAATAATATTACCACATTGTCAACTGGAAAGCCTACATACTGGCCAACAGATAATCAAAAAATTCCAGATCTAATGGACTTCGTAATATTCTCTGGAATTCCACAATCACACATGCGTGTAATGGAAAACTTCGACCTTAACTCAGATCATTCTCCAATAATAGCAACATACAGCACAATAGCCCATATGCTGGAAAAGCCCTATAAAGTCATTACAGCCTCTACAGACATTAACGCATTTAAAAGCTATTTGGACTCAGCTGTAAGCCTGGACATTTCGTTAAAAACAGGAGAAGAGATAGACTATGCTGTGGAGCTTTTCACAAATACAATTCATAAAGCGAGCTATAGAAACACGAATCATGCTCCTAATCTTCAACAACCAAATCAATTGTACCTTTCAACCGAACTTCGACAAAAAATACAAAATAAAAGAAATCTGCGAAAACGCTGGCAAGAAACTCACTACCCTGCTGATAAAAGATTATACAACAAGGCTGCATCTGAGCTTAGACAACTGCTGTCGAACTTACGCAATGAATCTCTAGCTGCGTATTTGAGAAACCTTGACCCAAACTCCTGCAACAACGAACACAACCTATGGAGGGCGACCAAATACCTAAAGAGACCAACTAAAAGAAACGTAAACATTCGTAAAGGCAATGGAAGATGGTGCAGGTCTGATAAAGAACAAGCGGAAGCATTTGCCCAACATCTGCATTCCGTGTTTCAGCCAAACGACATCAATAACCCAATAACAGAGACTGAAATCGAAAACTTTCTTGAGTCACCCTGTCAAATGAGCTTGCCTATCAAAAGCATTAAGTATGAAGAAGTTGTGACAGAAATCAAATGCTTGAACAACAAAAAAACACCAGGCCCTGACAAAATAGACGGCATCACCCTAAAAACTTTACCACCAAAATGCATTCGACTTCTCACTCTCATATATAATGCAATTCTCAGACTAGATCACTTTCCAAGTCAATGGAAATGCGCAGAGATCATTATGATCCTAAAGCCACTCAAAACAGAAACAGAACTGACCTCATACCGTCCCATTAGTCTGTTGACAATATTCTCGAAAGTATTTGAAAAAATACTATTGAAGAGAATGTTGCCAATTTTGGACGAGCTTTCCATCATTCCTGAATATCAATTTGGATTCAGGAGAGGTCACGGGACACCTGAGCAATGTCACAGGGTCATTTATGATATAGTCTCTGCATTTGAAAACAAAAAAATACTGCACTGCTGCGTTTCTTGATGTACAACAAGCGTTCGATCGAGTCTGGCACAATGGTTTATTGTACAAGATAAAGAAATGGCTACCTGCCCCATACTATCTATTAATCAAGTCATATCTGACTAAAAGATGCTTTTACGTGCAGCAGAAAAGCGACTCATCAACGCTAAACTGCATTAACGCAGGCGTCCCACAAGGAAGCGTACTGGGGCCAATTCTGTACACCCTATACACGGCTGACATGCCAGGTACAAACACATGCACTGTAGCAACATATGCTGATGATACAGCCGTTTTGGCTACAAGCACATCCAAAAATGAAGCGTCTGAACTCCTGCAGCGTGAGCTAAGCTTAATTGAAGACTGGTTTCTTCGATGGAAAATTAAAATCAACTCCCTAAAATCCGTCCAAATCACTTTTTCATTAAGACCAGGCAGCTGCCCTAATGTTGCACTTAACGGCTCACCAATTCCACAAACTACATGTGTGAAGTACCTCGGGATGCATCTCGACCGCAGATTAACATGGAAAAATCACATCAAAGCAAAGTGTCAGCAGCTCAGACTTAAAACACTAAAAATGTCCTGGTTGTTAAGTCGCAAATCAGAAACCTCTCTGGAAAACAAAATCCGCCTCTACAAAGCCATACTAAAGCCTGTTTGGACCTACGCTTTACAGCTCTGGGGAACTGCTAGCAAATCAAATATTGAAATTCTTCAGCGTTACCAATCCAAAACTTTGAGACAAATTGTCAATGCTCCCTTCTACGTAACTAATGCAAACATCCACAAAGACCTCAACATCCCAACCATAAAAGAAGAAATAAATAAAATCAGTAAAAAATACATCGACAGACTCCATAACCATGAAAACAATTTAGCCTTAAATCTAGTGGACAATAGTTTAACAGTAAGAAGACTGAAAAGATACCACATTCTCGATCTCCCCGACAGATAAATTAAACTACTGTAAATATGTAAAATATATAATAGCAGAGCTCACTGGAGAACTGCTATTTCTGTTAGCTTAACACTCCTCATAAAATTTACCTATTGTTAATTAGACAGATTGTAAATAAATAATAAAGAAAAAAAAAAAAAAAAAAAAAAAAAAAAAAAAAAAAATTATATTTTAATATATTTGGTATATTAAAATACTTAGCTGATAAACTTG